AGAAGGATGCCAGCGCATGAAAGAAAAAAATTATATAATAAAAATGAGATTCCAATATTCTCAAAATTCACAGGCATGTTATAATAGATATAAACATTTCTTAGACGTTATAGATTACCATCAGAGTAAATTGCTGGGGCAAATTTTCGGAAGTGACTCATGTCTTCTAATCTAAAGGGCCTTTTGAATTAAAGGGATTGAATTTTGTTGTTCATTTTTCTCTTATTTAATCCATGGGGAAATCTAGGAATCTTTCCGGAGAGTGGTAAAGGGAGTTTTGTGGTTTGGTGCACTTTTTCCTCTGTGCCCTAGTGGGCTCCCAGCTGGGCTTTAGGTAAACTCCTCTACCAATTCTTTGAAGAGCAAGATATTTGATGAGAGAAGGGACCACCCTCACTGGTACTTATTTCCTCTAAGCAAATGGTTCTTGCTGTTTTGAGCTATTGAACTTCGGGTTCTGTGTCTTGCTACTGTATCCACCTATCTTTAAGGTTTTGATTGAGTTGGTTTATCTCTAAGGTAAGACTAGGTTTATTCCTTTTCATCCTAGTGTCTCAAGAAATTGGAAAATTTCTCTCTGGTCTCTGAAAAGGAGATGCAAACTAGTGTGGGCTAGAATGGACTTGGCCTGGTGTTTAGTCCCAAGGCTACCCTGGGAATGTGGGGTGGAGAATTTTCTCCCCTTGGAGAGTGGTTGACTGTGAGGCTTTAGAAGAAAGAGATCTGCCACGGGTGCCTGTATTTGGCAACTGACCGATAGAAATGTGTTCCCTCAAAACACTGTGCTTGGTCTGGATGTCTGACCTGCTGCAGACACTTAAGTTACAGTAAAGAAGACCCAGGACTGTTTTTGGGGGCCTCCTACTGACACGGAAAATGGTCGGGTGCCGGGATGTGGCCGCTTGCCGATTCCCCATCACTCTGCATCCCTGTGGGCCAGCGTTGCTCGGGGAGAGTTGGAGGGCATGGCTGCTGCGGCCGGCCCCACATGCAGCTGCCTGCTGTCAGGGCCTGTGCTCCGGCAGCGCTGGATGCATCATTCTGATTGGGTACTTTTGGATCCCACTGTTGCTGACTGGATGTTAAAGCTCATTGCTGATTGGATGTTAAAGCTTGTAGTTGATTGGACGCTTTTTGAGTCCCACCAAGGGTATAAAAGCAGGAGGAGACCAAGGAAGCAGGGGCAGAAGATCAGAAGACAACAAGAGACCTGTGACACTTGCTGTGCTGAGCCTGCTGGCTAAATAAAGGCTGTTCTCCCACTTTTCATGTGCCGCTGGGTTCTTTCCCCGGTCAAGAGCTATAGTACTAGCTGTACACTTGCGGGAACACTACCCTGCATCAGAGGTAGGAGTCTTTAGGGGGTGAGTTAATTATCAAAGAGGAAGTTCAGTCCAACTCCCTGTTCAAAGGCTTCCCCATTAGAATAAGAATAATTCCACAAAAAAATAGTACGACAGAACCAAGTAGGCGACATGTTCTTCTATTAAAATTAGAGCTTTGAGGCCAGGAAGACCCTAAAGGTTGTCTCCCTGTCTGCCTCTTGCAATGAGACCAGGCTAGACTTATGATAGCCTAGATGTGTAATATGTGATTGCACCTGTTTACATGGTGCTGATTGGGGCCTTCTATGTCTTAATTTACGAGTTTGCCTGTGTACTAAATCATGAAAGCTTTCTGTTTGCATTTCAATGAAAACATTTGACTCCCTTCCAAATGGAAGCACATAATGAGTAGACACACTCCTTCTCTCCCCCAAACCCAGATGAGCCACTTAAATTTATTCCTCTTTTCTCTGTTTCCCGCTCTATGACTCGTCTCCTTTGCTTTCTATGTTTCTAAAATAGGCCACCAAAGTTTAATTGCTCAGTGCCTTGCTAAGTGTTTGAATTCTCTTGGGGGCACTTATGTGTTTCCTAATATGGGACTGAATCTGGATGAGTTTCAAGCAAGTGGATGATGTGGTTTGGCAGGAAATAAGGGAAGCCTTTTATTCTTTGAAGGTGCCAAGATAGCATCACTGTCAGCTCAGCAAATTTGAATAGCTCTGGAGCACTGGGGAATGGACAATGTCTTGCTGATGATGTGGGTAATATTGCAGAATAGGTGATAATTACTAAGGTGTTTTTGAATTTCTAAAGAACTTAAAAATCACTCTGTGGGGGCATTTCAGCAGGAAAAAAGCTGAAGAATTATGGAAGCAACATTAGAAATGTGGGGACAATGATACTCCCCATTTTATTTAAGACAGTAATATTGCTGCTATTACCTCTTCCACCAATGCCTCCACCACTACAACTACCAGCTGAAAGTTATTGGGTACTTCCTGTGTTGCAGGCACTATACTAACTGCTTTCCCTCACTTTCTGTGCATTGCCCATATCAGTCTAATGAGGTAGCTACTGCTATTATTCTTATTCTGCGCTTGAGGAAGCAGATGTTAGAGAGATTAAAGATTTTGCTTTAGGATCTCCAGCTGTGATGTGCTGGAGCTGAAACCTAACCTGTGTTTATTTGTTTAAAGCTCATATTCTTAACTGATATGCTATATATATACATATATATATGTATATATATAAATATATTATATATAAATATGTTATATTTATATATATATAAATATAGCCACTGTAAATACGTTATGTTGATTCAATGTTGGAAATTCTATTGATCAGACTAGATCACTTTCCCTCATATTATGAGCTTACGTGGCATGCACACGTGTGTTCGAGCGCACTGTGCTAGAGAGGAAGTAAGTTACACAAATGGACAGAGCGATGAACCTAGGCTTGGACAGGCAAGTTCCATCAGTGGGGATGAAGGATGCCTCTCCCCACTATCCTGAGAATGAATTGTAAATGTGGTGTCCCTAAATCAGAAAAATCAAGTCTGAAGGGGAGAATGTTAGAAGGCTGAAGACATTTGATTCATGGAAAGTGGTTCTGGCATTTGTCCTTGATTGGAGCAAGTTTAGTTAGATTGCAGTCCTGTAGTAAGTGATAAGATGCCTGTCACCGTGTGGAGGCCAGAAGCTAGAAGCAGCAAGCAAGGTGCCTGTGAACACTGCCAGTCAGACTGGAGCCACAGGCTAGTTATTCACGATGGTGGCCCTCCAGCAGTTTTTTTTTTTTGAGTCAGAGTGTCATTCTGTTACGTGGGCTAGAGTGAGTGCCATGGCGTCAGCCTAGCTCACAGCAACCTCAAACTCCTGGGCTCAAACAATCCTGCTGCCTCAGCCTCCCGAGTAGCTGGGACTACAGGCATGCGCCACCATGCCCGGCTAACTTTTTCTATGTATTTTTAGTTGGTCAATTAATTTCTATTTATAGTAGAGACAGGGTCTCACTCTTGCTCAGGCTGGTTTCGAACTCCTGACCTTGAGCCATCCACCCACCTCGGCCTCCCAGAGTGCTAGGATTACAGGTGTGAGCCCATCCTCGCCCATCCTTAGTTTGTTTTTTAACTGTAGTAATTACAGTCCGTTTGTTTTCACTTGCTTTTTCTATCCTTCCTTCAAACAACATCCACTTTTGAAAAATGCCGCCAGTATGTATCAGTTCGCTGAGAGAGAGAGAAGTATAGGCCCAATAAGAACCCAGCTGGGGCACTGAATCTCTGGGGACTGGAGTGGCAGTATTAGGGGGCAAAAAGAGGGTAACTCAAAGGTAAGGGGGGAATTTCAAGGGGAAGGTGGCAGGAATGCTGACGCAGCTGCTCTCCTGCCATTGAATTTCCTCGACAGAGGTCTACTTTGTTAGACTCATGGAGGATTTTTGTTTGACTTCTTTCAGGCATGTATCTTTAACAGAATTAGAATAAAGAGATGTTAAGGTTAAATGGATCACTTTGTCTAATAAAGGATAAAGAAAATGAAGATAAATTAACTTGCTAAGCACATGAAATTTAGAGAAAAACTTTAACATGAATCTTATAGATAATAAATTTTGTTCCGGTAAATCAATGATTTTTAACTTCATTGGTTTTTTTTTTTTTTTTTTTTGTATGTGTGTGATTTGATATGAGGGGCATTATAAGTCATTTGTTCCCGATAATAAAAAAAATAAGTTTGCAAAGATCTTATGAATATTTTTAGAATAAGTTAGAGTAGAATCAAGGTTGTATCAATTAGGATAGGATAGGCTTTGTCTAGTTCCAAGCCCCAAAGTCTCAGTCGCTTAAAACAATAAAGTTTTATCTTATTCGGACCATGTATCTATTGTGGGAAATCTGGGGGCCCTGCTCCAAGTTATTCACACTCCAGGATAAAAGCTGATGGAACCCAGTCACACGCATCATCTCTAGTCACTGTTGCAGGCAGAAAGACGCAGGCAAATCACCCATCAGCTCTGGAAGGTTGGAGGAGACACATATCACTTCCGTTTACATTTTATTGACCAAAATAAGACATGTAGACTTGCCTCATGGGAAGCAAGGAGGGGGAGTGTGATCCTATTACATGCTTAGAAGGAGAAGAATTAAAATATTGGAGAATAGCCAATGACTATCCTTGAGGTTAATCTTCTTACTAATGTGAATCTCACTCCTTTGCATTCTACAAGGGCCAAAAGAAGGTGGAGGTGAGGGTTCCATGCAGGAATTGTGCCTAACCCATAGGCCTTCTACTGTTGTCAAAGGCCATGGTGGTGTCTACCCTGGGGACTGAGGTTATCGACTCCTCCCTGTGCTGAGGAAGGGAGGCTGAGCTGTACTCTCCAACTGCTGCAGTTTAGAAGAGCCCCAAGTTGTTCAGTGGGAGAGAAGAATGGACAGGAGGACCTCCTAGCACAGAGCTTCTGGGACTCCCTCCAGAAGTCCCAGAATAGGCTTCTAGTAGCAATAATCTAAACCCTTCCTTGAAGGATTTTTCCAAGCCTCATCCCCAGCTCGCCAGCTAAAATCTGGGGATTGAACATCTAACATTCTGGTAAACTCTCTGTCTCTGCTCTTTCCTAATAGTTAACATTTATTGAGAGCTTGTTGTATGTCAGCCACTATTCTAAGCACTTGGTATGTATTATTCATTTAATCCTCACAACAACTCAGGAAGGCAGGTACTGTTACTATCCCCATTTTACAACTGAGTCCCAAAGAGGTTGAGGGATTTGCTAGTCAGTAGGGGAAATGGGATTCAGTCCCAGGCAGTCTGGCTTCAGAAGCCCCGAATGGCTTCTTGGTTATGAGGGAAGTATTGTATTTGGAGGAAATGAGCTCTATTTGAATGTGGATATGAACAATGAAATGCTCAATGATGCCAGTAGCAACTCACAGAGATGCTCAAGGACTAAAATCCTCACAATCTTACACTCTCTGTTTAAATCAATAAGATGAAACCGATGCAGATGTACCAGTGGCCCAGCAGGCCCCTTTTCTTCTACAGAGCTGAGGCAGAGCAAATTTACATGATTGAGTGTTAATAGAGCCTTTGTCATGACCAGCAGATGACAAATTTCTAAAGGTCTGAACTCATTATCATGTGCACACAGGGCAAAGCTTATAGGCTTCTGCAGGAAATCATTATTGCAAAAACAAACTTAAATGTTCCTTAAAGCAAAACAGGGCTGCCTAGGAATCAGTGCAAAAGTCAGAACTCTCTTTCTCTTCCTCGCCCTGCCCTCTCTATGTGTGTGTATTTGTATAAACAAACAAATAAACATGTGGAAAACTTGTCCAGTGGTGTGCTGGTAAGTGTTTAACAAATGGGGGAAGAAAAGTCTATCTGGAGTGGTTGCCAATTTCTGTGATGTAAATATTCCCACCATGCCGATTTTAAGTTACCAATGTGATGTCACAGAATGCAGAGTTGGAAAGAGATGCTAAGATTGACTTTCTTGTGCCAGTATGTGCTGGCTGCAGCCCCCAAGTGACATTAGATACAAGAGAAAAGACACCCCATAGCTCAGAGTTGCAAAAACATGTCAGATTTGAAACAGCTTCACTGAAATGCATATGCCATTGTATCAGACTTCTCTAATGACAACTGTATTATTTTTGTTTCTAAAATTAGTGAAACAAAAAAAATTATTTTTAGATGCATCCCAATAATTCCTTTTCTATTATACTTTGGTGCTCTGGGAGATGTACTGACGCTGCTAAAGGAGCTGCCACCTTTAGGAATTTCAACTCTGAAAGAGAGAAAAAGGCTGAGACGTGAGACCCTTGGAGTCGGGAGTGCTGATACTGCCCGTGGCCCTGCTGGTGAGTAGCATGACCTGGCACCTCATTGATCTTTTAGATCCTTCTGTGCTGAGTCTATGGTTTTAGGTGCAGTTAAAGGGGAGAGTGAGAAGAAGAGTGTAAGGTGAATCAATGGAAAGGGTACATAAAATGGAGAAACAGGAAGGAAAAAGACTGAGTGGAGCTGCTGGGAAAGAGAGATAGAATCAAGGGAAAGACAAAAAAACCTAACATGTGCTGAGAACCTACTGGGTGCCAGTGATGATGAGATTATGAATGATTATGATGATGTGATTATGAGAAGCACTTTATTTATGCTAACTCCATTTCCATACCAATCTCATGACACAGGGATTATTTTTCTCTATTTTATAGATGAGGGAAATGAGTCCAGAGAACAATTATTCACCCAAAGTCACACTGCTGGTGAGGGCTGACCTGGAGCTCCAAATAAGGTCTGTATATCTGTAAATCCTGTGTTCTTTGCCCTGTGCAGTGTTGCCTAAATGGGCAGGAGGTTTGAGGGGAGTGTTAGATGAACATCGCTCCCAGGAAGGCATTTGGGCTGTGACGCTTATGAATTGTTCTTTGGAAAGTTTGTTGATCTTCAAATTTTTATCTGTTCAGATCTTTAAATCTTAAGAAGTTCCAGTCTGAATAGGATGATTTAAGCCATCCATTAAGGCAGAAATTATTTATTGGGCTGATTCCCAGAACATCTAGGGGCTGAGTGGCTTTAGCTTTGAGTTGGAGGTTGCTCTTTGGATCTCTCCTAGGCAAAAGTGGCAGAAAGTAGGTATCTATTAGGCCTTGATTTAAACAACAAATCCAGAAAATACAGAAGAATAAGGAGAGGGAGAAAGAAAAAGGAGAGAGGAAGAGACAGTGATAAAGCAATGGGTAGGTTTTGTTGCCCAGTAAAGACTACACCATCAGAATACTAATTCTCAGTCTTTGAGTCTGGCTTAAAATCAAAAGTTGAATCAGACATCTGCTTTAATGAGTAAGAAAATATTGATTAAAAGGGCCAGACTCCCTCTGCTCCCAGCTCTGGAATCTTGCTGCTTTGATAGCACAAATCGATACCCTCTTGAGAAGGTTTCAGCTCTGATTTGTGAAATAGGAACTGCACCAGGGTCCAATAAGAACTGCCACCCGGGAGAGAAACTGCAGCGGCCACTGGCTCAAGGCCAGCACATCTACCATGCGGGCTGCTTTTATTCAGGGCTCGGAGCCCTAGGTCAGGGTTCTGGGCAGCTTCGCAAATGACCTCCTGCTGCAAACTGACTAGGAAGGGATCAGATTCCATGTGTGTTATAGGTACGTGCATATAGCCTTATATTACGTAGAGTGAGAGTCATGAACTTAAATTACGGGCAGGGCCCTGAGTGTGTTTGCTGTTGAGCCATTTGTATCCCACAGCCTTGTCCTGCCTTTTCCTTCCTGTGGGGAAGTCCTAACACCGAAAGAATCTGTTCCGGTAATACATGTGTGTGCATCTCCTTTTTCTTGCTCACTGGAAGTGAAGGTTAAATATTTTCTTAGGCTGAAGAATGAACATATATTTGGAGTCAAGCAGACTCATGTCTGAATCCTGTCTCTGCTATCCATTAGCTGTGTGACCACGAGGAAATCATTTAACCTTGCTGAGCCCATTTTCTTTTTTCTTTTCTTTTCTTTTCTTTTCTTTTCTTTTCTTTTCTTTTCTTTTCTTTTCTTTTCTTTTCTTTTCTTTTCTTTTCTTTTCTTTCTTCTTTCTTTCTTTCTTTCTTTCTTTCTTTCTTTCTTTCTTTCTTTCTTTCTTTCTTCTTTCTTTCAGCATATTATGGGGGTACAAATTTTAAGGTTTCAATAAATACCCTCCCTCCCTCCCCCCACAAGTCTAAGTTTCCAGCATGTTGAGCCCATTTTCTTGACTGTGAAATGTAGACAGCAACAGGTTCTACCTCCGCAGATTGTTGCAGGGATTCAGTGGGATCTTGCAAAGAGGATGTTTAGTGGAGTGCCTAGTATGTAGTAAGCACTCCATAAATTGAGCACTGTAATACTCCCAATAATTTTCTTAGCTTACTAATGACATTATTCACATATATAAATGTCCAGCACTGGTTGGGGGCTGCATAAATGGGGAAATAAATATTACTTTATCCAAGTGACTCTTATTTCTCATCCATCTGCCATGCCTGGCTTCTAGACCCAAGCCAGCCTTTAACTAGCTTGAGGATGGCCACTTGTCTGTCCATTTCCTGTTACCAAAAGTGTGAAACAGAGTCACAGGATGTCAGCTCTGCATTGGCTGTGTGACTCTGGGCTTACATGCTTATGTTCTCTGGCCTTAGTTCTGTTATCTTTAAAGGGAGGGTGTGGTCACAGGGAATTTGACATCCCGAAGGCCCCTCTAGGGAGAACATTTCTGGACAGTTCTGTGTTCTGTTTCCTGGCTCTGTGCCTTTTCCTCTCATCTGACTATGAGTTGAAGAACTTCTCTGCTTTTTCTACAGGTTCTTTCTCCTGCAGCCTGGGGCCTTCTCTGACAGCTGCTGCCTGTTTCTTTACATCATCTTGGGTTCCATTATTTGGCTCCCACCGAACAGTTCTGTGATCTTGAATCACTGAGCAATTCTTTTTCTGTCTCATGTCCTCTGGGCCCCACTTTTTGCATCTCCTTCCCCCAATTCTGCCATAGTGATTACCCATTTTGGGGGGTCAATGACCCTACATAGTGCATTTGTTGTGTTAGTCAATGGGGGCAAACAGGGTGTCTTGCAGATGTTCAAACCAGGTCCTTACCTCTAAGCCTGCTTATTAAATTTTGCATGACTTCTTCCGTGAAGATCAAAGGAGGAAATTCCTCAGATGACAGCGCCAGGAATAGGTGTTCTTAAAAAACAAACAAGCAAGCAAACATAAGACTGCTGTGGATTACTTAAGTGATCAGGTCTTTCTCTCTGCTTTGGGAGCTACAAAGCTGACAGCCCGATTTTGTGGCTCACTTCCCGCAAGATTGTGTGGCAGGCATGTTGTGTCTTATTCTTTACCTCGAGTTCATTTTACTTTTCCTCAATTCATTTTCCCCTCATTAAAATTTCTCTTATTCATTAAAAAAAAATCTTTTATTCTTTTAGAAGTCATGCCATGCCTCTTTGGAATAGAGTGAGACCTGAATAAATAAATGAATATATTCTGTGCATTTTCTATAGTTGAGGGCTTGACTCAGCTTCAGGGAAAAGCAGTCAGAGAAAGCTTCCTAGATGAGGATGCTTAGGATGCGTGCACGACATCAGCTTTGTGCAGTTCAGCCTGTCAACTGAAGACTGGCAAGGTTCATACATCTGGAAAGGAGAACTTTATTTCTCATAAAGGGTTGCAGCCTGCAGGCAGCCCTGCCGAGTGGCTGGGAAGGGAAGCCTCTGGGCAGAAACCAGAAACAGGCACTCAGAGCGAGGGGTAAAGGGAACAGGAATTTATGTCGAGTGGGGTGGCCGGGCCGGATACACATATTTAATAAGCTATAGGAGGAGTCATGAATATTTATGAAAGGAGAAACACTTGAACTTCATGCCTCTTTATGGGTCACCTGTTCAAAAAATGGTGGCATTAGCATGATCTGAGGGTGGAGTTTTTGGTCCTCTGATGTCAAAACGTGAAGCAAAGGACACGAACGTACTAAGCGTGCAAACTTCGAAGACTGGCCAGCACCTCTCCATGGTTGACGGTCTGTTATCAGGAAGGAAAGCTGATTATCTGCTGTGTTGAAACTGCAAAAGGGAGGAGTAGTCACAAGGTTGGTTGTAATCAGTGGAGGAGTAAGTCTTTCCAAAGGGCTGGTTTCTGTTTTACCCATAGGAAAGAAAGCCGAATAGTAGTTAATGACGGAGGGGTATGGTGAGGTGAGTGTCATCATACTTCTCATCCTGTCATGGCTGGGATTTTAGTTTCTAAGGTTTCTCTGGGGTCCCCTTGGCCAAGGTGGGGGAGAGGGTCTGTTCAGTTGATTTTGTTTTTATTTCTCAAGTCAAACATGAAATCCCCAAAATGGCATGTGACTTGAGAGCAGAAAGGGTAGGGATGAAAATTAAATATAGAAAACCTCATAAGACACTTATATTAGGGTGGGAAATATTTGCCATACAACATTACCTAATCATGGGAGTAAAACTCATCCACACTCAAGGGGAGGGGATGACACATTCTCTCTACCACAAATAATTAATGTAATTTAACATCAGATTTTGTCTCAACCAGAAGAACTTCCTGTATGGTTCTGACCTTGTTTTGACTACCTTTGCCATATTATGATCCCAGGGCACCCACCTTGAGTGAGAAGCACATCAGGATTTCTACTCACCAATTCTGTGACCTTAAACTCTATAACCTTAAGATCTAGCCAATAGAATTAGCCTTTTGCCTATTCTGACCTTGGGCACCTATCTGATCCCCATCACCACTAACACCACCTCCACCTGCTACCTTTAAACAGTGCTAGAGTCCTGTCCTGGTCCCCACCCATTTTCTTCTCTTGTTCATTCTCTAAGACAAAGGCAATGGATGCATTTTTGTAATGGGCTTTGAAGTAATTAAAAAAGAGATAATGGTATCGTAAGGTTGATAGACAAGATGATTAACAATTTTGTCAATGCCTTACCTGTGCCCTTCAAAGATTTCCAAGTGGGGTTCCAGCTACAGAATCTACTTTCTTTTTTACTAATGTGAGCAGGATGCTTTCTACGTGCTAGGACTTTCTTTGCTTTCAGTGACTGCCTTTAGAGAACATAAGTTTCCTCCCACCACCTAGAGTTTTGAGGGCAGCAGGGCACTGCATAGTCATTGCAAGTCTTTGCTAATGCCAAACCCACAAAATCTAGCTTTACCCAGAGAGGAAAATTGTGAACATCACTTATTAGTGGTAATTCAAGCCATCAGACTAGAGGCATTTTTTATAAGCAAAATCCTGCTTTCAAAATAATACAAATCCTCCAATAGTGGGACTTTTTCATACTGGCCCTTTTTGGCCTCAAGTTCATAGGACCTCCTGGACATCACCATATCCTCCCCAGAAATTTATAAACTGCTGGTTATCAGTGGCTGCTCATATTCTAGATCTGAGATTACATTAGGTATTTGGCCCACAATAGGCCCAGACCATCTGAGGACAGAAAGCTGGTTAGAAGCCAAACATTCCAACAGATCCATCACAACATCATATTAGTCAGGGTTCTCTAAAGAAACAGAACAGACTGTGTGTGTGTGTATGTGTACATATGATATATATATATTCATTACAAAAAATTGGCTCATGTAATTATGGAGGCTGAGAAGTCCCACCATCTATTTTCTGCAAGATGGAGACCCAAGAAAGCCAGCAGTGTAATCCAGTCTGAGTTCAAAGGGCTAAAAACTGCAGGAGCCAATGGTGTAAATCCCAGTCTATGGGCAGAAGACTGATTTCCCACCT